GAGTCATTTATTGAAGATGAAGGGCCGCGCGTCAACTTATCTAAGCACCACGGMCCAGATGGTACACTTTAGTGATAGAGTTAAAGTAGAAACCAATAAAAAAGTTATAAAACTTATTGATTTGTGCAATACCTAAAATTTAATTATTACCCTACCCCCTGGGGAAAAATCTTCCTGGAAAATTATTGGGCACTATAAAYCGAATGACTATCCWCGTGTTCACGTGGAAACGCAAAAGCGTTTTCACATGTAAGCGAGGCTAATTAATCTGATAATTCTTATTTTGTGCTCCAAATGGTGGTCAAACACTGACCATGTGCTGTCAGAGAGAAAGAATGCTAATGAACTCGCGATTCAGCTGAAGGACATTCCGCAGAGACCGGAAATGACGTCACGTGAAGCTACGCAATATATCAGAGTGACACGTTTTCAGTTTTAGGTGTTTGCGAAACTTGCTCCAAGTCTCGCTCGTTATTTTCAGATTCAAATCATASGTACACTCCTGGTTACAAGTTTGCTTTCCGAGGATAATGGCGCGAAAAAAAAAAGAAGAGCGAGCTTTGAGCGAGACTTGGAGCAAGTCAATGTGTTTGCAAACTAAATAGCTGTCAATCACATTTTTCTTTTCTAATCATCGAAAATCGGAGTAAAATTCACACAAGACAAACCATTCTTCAACCTCCCCTCCCCCATCACACCAATCTCCTCCCAGTCTCCCTCTGAATTAGGGTCAAAGCATTCAATACTCGTCTCCCCTCGACCCCCGAAACACAATATCAACCCCTCGTGAACTGTTGTGCAAAACTCATCTCTTGCGCGTACCATGTGCTTATCTGGTTTGTGCCACTTTTTGGTTTTTACATCAAAGGTTTCTACGGTTAGGAGGTTGCGCACGTTGTCACGTCCTCCCATGGCGAAGATCTTCCCATCAAATGTCACGCAAGACAACCGAAATCGTGGGACAAGCATTGGAGGCAAGGAAGACCATTCTCCTGAAGCTAGATTAAGGCTTTCTACTGATGCAATCGGTACTGCTTGATCAGTACTATAGCCTCCTATCACATAAAGAACGTTAGAGAGACAAACCACACCTAGAGGTAGATAATATAATAGATTAATATAAAATAAATATAGATAAATATTTATTCTAACTTCAACGTCGTTTTACGTCAAGCTTTGCAAAGAAYATTTTATTGGCTTCTACTGAAGTCACTCATCATAGAGGTAATTTATTCATTGAATATAAACAGATCTCTTTTGGGGGAACCATCGCCTAAATAAATGAAAACTGGTCCTTATAGCGATATTCACTGTTTACCAACATTGAAGTCAGGAATCTTTTCTCATTCAAATTTTCCAACCGTAAAAACAAAAGATCTCTGTTTCAGTAGCCAATAGATCTCTGGTTGGCACATTAATAACAATAGGTGACGTAAGCGCAAACTTCGCCATTAGGTGGACGTACGATGACGTAATTCGTTTTAGTCGATTGGCATTTAAACTGCCAACCAGAAATCTATCGGGGTTATTCACTAAAGCAAAGCGACAAAAATTGTTAAAATGGTCGGAACATTAACATGAATTTTCCTCGTCCAATTATTTCTTAATTGGACAGCATGGAGTCCTATTATATATGCTAATAGCAATGGTTATGAACACTACGTCTAACTATTTTGGACTATTATTTCAAATGGCCTTGGCCCTTGCGTTAGGTACTTACCAGGACCCCTGCGTCTGACATTCAAGGGTGGTAATCCATGCCATTTTTGTTCTCCAATCAGAAATCGTTTCACAGCATTATTATCTTCTTTGCCTCCTACAACGTAAAATGCAACTTCGCCCCCACAAATACCAGCATCTGTCACGGGAACTCCTGTGTATTTTAAAATAGAATACTGTGTAAGACGGGAAAAAGCTAGCTCGAGTGAGAAAAGCCTTAAGAGCACAGGCATCTAAAGTTTATCATCAACATCACCACCACCACCACCACCACCATCATCATCATGCATCATCACCACCCCCTCCCCCCCATCAGCAGAATCATCATCTCCACCATCACCGTTATTATCATGTTTCATCATTTTCATCATGTATCATCATCATCATCAACACCACCACCACCATCATAATCATGCATCATCACCACCCTCACCATCATCAAACTTATTATAACCACCACCATCATCATCACCATCATTATCGCCATCATTATCATGAGCCGAAGTATAGCATGGGGCAGCACTGAAATGGCTTCTCCTTTCCAACGAAAATTGATTTGAAATCAGCGCATCTTCAAGCCCGTACGCGTTCATCTATACATATATCTATCATTCGAGGTTTAAAGTACTTACCATTACCAACGAAGTTCCAGCGCATTAATTCAGYATTAAGCCGCAACACCTTCCGAGATGACACCAAGAATAAACTCCCATTTACTCTAACAGCAAAGTGCAAGTCTCTATTGCCGCTGACACTCGCACCACGCTTCATTTCAGGACAGGGGACACACGTGGATATCACGTGATCGAACCTCTCTACGAAATCCTCGCTGGAGGAAAATACGTAGATGGCGTCACTAGTGTTTCGGGAGCGCCCCTGTAACCATACGTCCTTGTGAGACGGCGATGTTTGATGAAGTGTCTGAGCTGACGATACTTTGTCTTYACATATGCCAAGGTCCTTGACAAGTTCTGGGATTATTCGCTCATCAAGGAAGGTTGGATTCATTCGGATGAAGTGAATCTTTTCAAAAAGACTTTCGAGTGACTTTTTTCTGTGAAGAGATAAAAAATACTTATGGAATAAAGTATATATTTATGAGCAATTATAATACACACAAGGTCATTTCTACTAATGCGCTAARCCAATGTAAAGACTTCTAGCACACGAGCAGAAGCCACGAAAATACAATGGAAGATTTGAAAGATTTTCAAAATCATTACAAAATATTTTAAGAAACAAGACTACTATTTTGAAACAAGACATGTTTCGGCAGTACGTACTGCCATCTCCAATTCCGGCTCCAATTGCTAAATTTCGTTACGTTACTGGAGTACATACCATACATCCRTGAAAACTGTTAACTATTCAAACTGGCCATTAAATACCACGGGAGGTGAATTAATGATAAGAGTATGTAAGTAACCCAATTATTAGATGCGCGAACCGGCGTGATGAAGAATATTGACCCTGGTAACTAACTCTGGTATGGTGGGGCCGGACGCAGTGGACTTCAATCCAGCCCTTCATTGGATTACGTATCGAGGAAGAAGCCATAGCAAGGAGTTTTAAGGGACAGCTTAAGCACTGTAAACATAGAAAGACTAACAAGTTCAAGTCAAATAGTATCTGTTTTCAGACCTGCTTTTGGCATCATGGCCGTACCACTTCATGACTGCATTGTAAAGCGTCTCTTCACGACCGACTCGGAGTCCCTTACTGCAGAGAAGACGGTACAGTWGCGAGGCCTTTAGTGTTGGAAATAATTCACTCTCTACCAACTGTACAAAATTCCATTCCAAGAATAGAAAGACTTTGTTGAGAAGCCACGGCAGATTTAGTTCCTCGGCCAATGACATGTAGCGGTTGTAGTTATTGATGCGCAAGTTAACGTTGTTGGTAATGAAATGGCAACATTGGTCAACAACTTCTGATAACTAGAAAAGAATAGAGAAGATCAGTAGGAGCTTTGTAATTAGCCATAATACTTTTCGAAATTCAAGATAAATATTCCAATATTTCCAACCCTGAAATCTGAATCAGGGCAAGGCTTACTCACAGCGGATTGAACCGTGAAACGACCTCTGGGCTGATTTAAATCAAGGCACGGGTATAACTTACAGAGATCGTACCTTCGAACAACCTCTGGGCTGAACTATTAAGTTTGGGCACGACTAACTAACAGATGAAACCCTGAAACAACCTCTGGGCTGATCAAAGTCGCGGCAGGGAGTAACTTACAGATCGAACCCTGAAACAACCTCTGGGCCGAGTCAGGGCATGGCTAACACACAAATCGAACCATTCACAACCTCTAAGCTGATCTAAGTCAGGGCACGGGGTAACTTACAGATCGAACCCTGAAACGACCTCTGGGCTGAGTCAGGGCATGTTGGCAAACTAAGACTGAGTTGGAAGTTAAGCCGTTTTTAATTTTACGAATATCTCGATTCGGAGAATTTTCTGATTCAAACAGAAGCTACCTCCATTAATTTTTAACTAGTCTTACYTCCTAGATTTTTCATACCCCCTGTGCTAATAAAAGAATAATAATCATTATTGCTTATATAGTCTAATGCGGCTAGGACTGAATTTATTTCTTGGTTGACCTCTAATTCTGCACTCCTTGTATTTTTTTAAAAGTAAATAATATTCAAATCATGATGCTCGAATATTGCAGTAGTTATCACAAAACATCTACCAAACGTTAATGAATTTCTTAGTAACTATATTTCTATAAATCATTAACGAGATCAAAATTTAATAATATTTTTGTTCAAAAATGTAAACTAAACTATTTGTTTGGACGTCATTAACACTTTCTTAAAYTTTTCTTTAACATCTTTAGTAAATTTTAAATTTTTTTCCCGTTTTTGATTGTAAATATTTCATGATATGAAAGGGATAGATAATATGGCAAAGTTCTTCGCGCTTCTCTTCTCCTTTTCTTTTCTTTCTTTCTTCTTTTTCTTCCTTTTTTTTCTCGGTGACTCAACAGACATGTTAGTACCGAGACAAAATGAATCAGTCACGCACTCCAACCTACCTCAAGAAAAACAGCAATTTTCATGAGATCTTCGACATTTTCCGAAGACACGAGAAGTTCGCTTTCGTACATGTATTCTAAAACACTTTTCACTACGTCAGCAGAAAAACCTTCCTCAAACTCAAACTCAGTCTTGCTCTTGTTTTCGGTGAAATACCGCTTAAGAAATGGCGACTTCGTTGCCAAGATCAACCGATGAACTTTCATGCTGAACGAATTAGATTTGATCGAAACAACCATATCGCATAGTTCTCCTTTAAGTCTTAGTGCGTTGAATTGGTTAAAAATTTCGGCGCACATAATTGCTGAAGATGAACAGGTCTGACAATACCCGGAAGAAGAATTAGGTTTTCTCTTCAAGAAGCTGATTGATAGTATGGTAGCTTTTCTTTGCCCACTCATACTTGCGTTAAAAACGAGTCAAAACTGATCGCTTCGAACTCTCAAACAACCCAAGACGTCCGAGCACGTAGATCACTTGCATATAAGACCCATTTGAACTCGGGAGACAATAATAATTTCAACTACAGATAATGATGATATTCATTATACCACGTTTGAATGGATATAAAAGCGACGAAAATCCCCGAAGTCGCGTTTGCAATTAAACCGAGAGTCGTTAAGTATTGTTTATGTTATGATTGAATGTGTCTTATTGTTCAGATCATTTGGCCCTGGATGATGCTTTCGCCTGCGCGATCGGTTTCCCAGGATCCCTGATGAATTTTCTTACAAATTTGTCTTTTCAAACTAATTAAACTGAGACGCACTGTGAAACGATGTGAAACACTTTAGTCTTCACACGCAACCCCAAAAACGTCAATCATTATTGAGGCTTAATTGTGTGCACAAATTATAGCATGGACAACATAAAAGTCGATATGAATGGCATAGCGGAGAACGCAAGCTTTCAAGATATTTTATAGTAGTATGGCTTCTACACATTTTTGAAAATGTCGATTTGGGCATAAACTTTAAGCTCGAATGTAAAAGAAATGACAAGAAATGAGATCCAGTTACATTGCTATTTTTACTGTTTAGCCGAATATATTGGTTATTAGAGTGAATTCGTATATCACAGTTTTACATGCTAAGGAGTTCTCCAAATATTCTAATGTAGATCATGATTCTCTATGTACCATGGTTATGGTTATCACGATTCTGGATGTACCATGGTCAACATGATCCTGGATGTACCATGGTCAACATGATCCTGGATGTACCATGGT